TTGGATCGGTTTGTCCAGAAAGATGCTAGCTGGCGCAGGATCCCGTGCGACAACCTCCTATTTCAGAGCTCGGCCTTTTCCATATTGATTCTGCCAGGGGTGGCGACAGCGCTCACTGTATTTGACCCCAGTACTAAGAAGGCTGATGCCTGAGGTATGAGCCCTGTCATGGGGCGTGGAGCACCCATCCTGGGTGCGTGGGGGACTGTGGGCTGGACAGGAGTAATGCGTACTGCCTGCACAGCCTCCTTGGGTCATGTGACCCACAAACCTGTATATTATCCTCGCATGCTGCTTCTTTGGAGAAGCAGCTATTAGTTCCAATATACCCTGCGTATATCACTATCTCTATTTCCCGATCCTCCATTACATACAGCATTCCCTTAGGCATTCCATACCTAGGGGTCTCACAGTTAGTTTTGCAATCAATCTAAGATTGGAATTTCCCGGCTGACATGATGTATCTAGGCAAATCCGAAGAAGCAAGCAAACGGAGGCGAGGGCCTCCGAAGGGGAAGGCTCTTTGAGATCTTACTATTCGATTCGCCCATTCTAGTTAGAAGGTCCAGGCGTGCACGCCTGTATTGGTCAGCAGATGAGCTGATTGATTTCCATTCGAGTTGTGAACTCAATAAAGACGCATTTCATATGCTCTACCATAGGACACGACGACTATCAAATTTTGAGGTAGTCTGATATTATAGCGGGAAGCCAACCAACTAGCTAAATACTATAAGTAGTTCATGCATCCGCCAGCTCGTCAATCTGAGCTGCTGTATTACCTATCTTCAATGTCAGCTCCTTGCCCTAATAAAACAGAGCTGACTACTTCTGGAGTTGCCGGTCGATAATTGTCTAGTTAATATCGGGTTTGTCATAGCGATTGGTAAGATCGCGCTAAGAACGATCCCTTACGGATATAACAATGGAAGTATCCTCACCTCTTACCCTTCGGTCACGGGGAACTTTACATCCAAGGAGATCATACAGTTCCTTTTCCAAGAACTGCTGCCAGTAGTCTCTTAGAGCTAACACGAGGTCTTCATCGGTATCCTTTGATACGATTCGGTTATTGACCTTGACCCGCCACTCTATGAGATAATAGATATAGGTTGGCGGTTCTTCATTGTAAGTACAATCCTCATCCTACTGAAAAAACTGAAGTAATTCGAGATTTTCCGGTCATGATTGGCTTGCCGCATTATTGCCATTATCGACCGCATACAAAGGGGAGGGGCTGTACGTGGACCGTGTGTCGTAAGGGCTATGAAAGAACCCAGGCGTGGGCGCATACCGAGAGTCCTGCTCCCACGATTCGAGCCCTTCGGGCTGGAATATACAGTCAACATCGGGTGGGCTTCGAGTTATCTCCCGAACTAGTTGTAGCTTTAAAGATATATATTAGCTTGCTTGAAGATAACAGCTTCACAAAGACACTAGTAACCAAGGAAAACCATAATCCGAGTTTCTGGGGCACTGGCGTTCCAAGCTTTGAGGACGAGACGAGCACACTCTAACAAGAGAATTGGATGCTGACACGAGCCTGGTGGTATACCCGTGGCTGGATCATTGGTAATTCCAGGCCCTTACAACGGGAATTTGAGTTATGGAGATCCAATCCTTTGTGGTATATGCATCCAATTCTTGTTGAAGACTGCAAGTCTAGAAACGGGTGTTGTGGTCGTGATTGTGGATGTTGTCTTGATGCTCAATGTGCAAATAGTTCAGCCGGGGCGCTTGGTATGGGACACTGCACTCTAGAATGCGGATGTTGTATAAGATCGCGTGGCTTTGAACTGAGTGAGGAAAGGGAAAAATTTCTTCTTGATCGCTTCTCATCTGATGATCAGATGGATACTATGGATCATCAGGTCGATCCTTATCAGCGCCGAATTTGTCTTGTCTATATTTGGGGTTTGAGTGTGAATGATAGCTAGATCATCCAGAATGAGATTCAATTTCAAAATGTTGCTGCTATGGGACTTTCAGATAAGGGAAGTGAAATTTGAAAGAAAAAAAAAACGAAGAAGCATTACCCTACGACTGCTATGGTTTGCCCTCGACAAGCAAACCTCCTGGGAGTCATGTCCAATGATAAGAGACTTCTACCCGGGGATTTCACTAGGTCTGTGGGGTTACACATTCTCTCGGGTTTTATGTGGCAGCAGCCGATTTAGTGTATCTGCAATTGAGGCTGACTGTCCCGGCAGCTGGTTATACCTGTAGACTTGCGCGGGACCTCTTATATAAATCAAAATTAGAGCCTAGCAGTACCCAAGGTAGCTCTGGATTACTATGAAAAGGACCTGAGGTTAGGAACCTTAGTAGCCAGTTGGACGGTTTCCAAGTGTCAATAGCAGAACCAGTAACTATACATTGCTTATTAAGGGATCTGTAATAGTAATTCATGTATTTTTATTTATCTGCCAGGCCAAAATAAGGCATTAGGGCATTGAATCCAGGCATTCGGCATTGAGCGCTATACACCGTCGTAAACCGGGTCTATTATATCCCTGGTGGTACCTTTCTACTGTGCCACTGAGAAAGACATGAGGTGCCTAACGAAATCATTGCAAATGATGATACTCAGAGGCTATAGACCTCGACCTAAGAACACACTCTCCCTTCATAGCTTGTTAAGTAGAATCATACATTCCTAGCTAATAATACATCTCGCCATATAAGGCGCAGAGGAAAAACAAAGCAAAGCGTGATGGACATACAGCGAGAATAACGCAGAGCCGAAGCAACGAGCAGAACGATAGAAACATGGTAAGGATAACGAATAAGAAGAGTAAACCAGCTGCAGTGACCGAAGGTAGCAATTCAGGTAAGAATAATCACACGTAGCCTCAATGGCAATCCGTCTGCGAATGGGAAGCTAGAGCACCCCCGGGAACTAATCCACGTCTTCATCTAACTCCTCAAAATGATAATTGCCAAGGCTGCCACGAGATGGGCGAGGACGATATTCCATTCCTTGTGAGTCGACGATACTTTCTTTCACAGGAGTTAGGTGATGTAGTGCGATGTTCTCGGAGCCTCTAGCATGCGGGACGGAAGGAAGAATAGCTATTTTCTGTAGAGACTTCTCACTGGAGGGAGATCGTCGGCGAGGGAAGTCTGCATTTGGGTTGATCTCGAAGGAAGACTGGAAACGAGACGGACGGCCAAGAATCGGGGGCAACTACGTATCTTCTTCATCGGGTTCAAGAGTATCTTCAGACTCCATACCCGCAGAAAGTTCATCCTTGTAAGGCTCGAAAACATCTTCGAGCCCCATGTCGGAACCCTCATCCTCACTATCGCAATCCCACGGCTTCATAGGGACGTTGGCTGCTCCACTAAGGGCACCGATTCTATGGAGAATCCATTGCATTTGGAGGAGATCCCATGAAGGCAATGGTAGGTTTTCTGGATCCTTGGTTTGGAAAATGACCAGATCACCAGAATTCATCTTGTGCGCGGATCCATCAGTGTTCTCAACACGAATATTGAGTAAATCTGCGGGGGGATGAAGCGAAATACTCGGTTTGTCCTGGACCTGAACCTTCTGTCGCGTGACCTCGGGAAGCCAGTAGAAGCGTGTGATCAACTCTTTACCGTCATCGCGCAGATGGAGCGGCTGGAGGGCAAAATAACAAGCCCCCCAAAGCCTGTGGGCGTTGGGGCACAAGGAAAGCAAATTCTCGCAAAGCTCTGTGCCACATGGGCCCGTCAACCGGGCTTCCCATTGATCGACTTGGTCTTTGCCCCAGAACATGTGTAGCGTTTTCCAGAACTTGTCGTACGTGTCAGTGTTCTTATTGTTTCCCGATGATTGACTTTTCTTCAGGGATAGCGGGTAGATGTGAGCCACATCTACCTGGGGGAAATTGGTGATCACACAGCTGAAATCGTCGCGCTTAAGACACTAGTCAAGGTATTAGTACATAGATCATTCCTCACTCCATGCAAATTAGACGACTCACAGCTGTTTTTGCGGTCAACTTTCGCTTCGGGCTCTCCTCCCCTAACTTTCGCTTCCCTTGTGTCTCAGGCAGCCCTGCGATCATCCTCGGCTTTGTTTTCCCTAAGGAGTTTCAATGTCAGTCCTTCCGTCGGTTAGAAAGGGGTATGAAAAACGGAAGTAGCTCACAAGCCCTGATCATGGCGAAAGTATTCGCGCCTGTCATGGAGAGGGACGCAGAGGTCTGGGAGCATTCCGCCACCTGGAGAATCTCTCGAAGGGATTCAATATCGGACAACCAGAGGCATGCCCAATATGTTGAGTCCGCTTCACTTTCATTTGCTTTTTTTTTGAGTTTGTCGATCAACTTTGCTCTCTCGGTATCCACAAGTTCTGGCAATGGATCAATAGGCGGAGGGCTCCATGGAATATCAGCAACTGGCATAGTAGGATTCTCGATCGGAGGCGCTTCCTCAAAGCCAATAAGCTCTGATGAAGGTTCCATGTTGTCGTGATGGACTACAGTCATGGCTGGTCGATAAGGAAACTGCTGAGATGGGTGGAGTTAGCCAAGTGCTCCCAGCACTGGAAGGCACGTAACTCACCTGACTTCCCTCCGAGGCCCAATTGAGACGCGCAATACGTAGTGCTGACGATAAAAAAGTTTGCTTGGTGGCTGGAACTCAAAGTAAGATAAAAAAATGGGAACTCAATTGTGTCTGCATGATAGAGATAATGAGAAGCGTCAGGCTAATAAGCCACGGATACTCAAGAACCCACTACCCGATATTGTAATAGTGACCTCAAGGATCCAGATTGTAAACATAATAATCGAAGTGACGAGGAATTTCTTTTGGCTCATAAGCCTTAGCACACTTTAAGGAAGAGGAAGGAAGATGATAGGAATAGGGGGAAGAGAGGGAGAGGGGGGAGATGGATTAGGGAGGGATGATAGATCGCTGTAACTCTTCAGAGTATCTTGAAAGAGTTGCCTAGCCTCTTGGACTTCTTGCCCAATGCCCAAAAAGCAGAAATGCCAAACTTAGGGCGCCTACCAGTCAGATGCCCCACCAGTAGCAGATGCCTCGCCAGTAGCAGATGCCTCGCCAGTAGCAGATGCCTCGCCAGAGCCAGATGCCTCACTAACATTTGCTGCACGACGAGCAGCACGACGAGCAGCATAGGCAGCACGACGAGCAGCATAGGCAGCACGACGAGCAGCATAGGCAGCACGCAGTTTATTGTGAGCACTGACCCCAGAACTGGTAACGCTTTTGCCCTGAGGAATTTCTGGGAACGACTCATACTCTGGTTTCTTCAGTATCGCTTTCAACTGCTTGGAGCTGGCAAATTCCCGCATCCCCTGGATGTACTTTGAAGTTTTGGCGAAAGGGTCAGTTCGGAGAACAGTATCTGAATAAATAACCCAAAGGCCAAATCGTGCACGACTCAGAGCAACATGCAAGCGCCGGAAGTTTGCCATAAAGCCAAGGGGCTTAGTGCGTACTGCATCGAAGATTATGAAGTCACACTCACTTCCTCGGAAAGTCTTGATCTTCTGGATATTTAGATCAAGCCACGGGATGTGCGAGTTATTGCTCCGTCTGTCCGCCTCTTGCAAATACGCTCTGTACTGCCCTTCGTATCCAGTTAGGATTACGATTGAGTCGAAAGCTGCTCCCATAGTATAATGAATGTTATTGGCGAGGTCGAGAGCGTCCCGGACATTCGCATCGTTCATGTATGACGTTCCACACATACTCTGCTGCCCGTGTTCCGAATTGAGGAAGGCGACATTGGAGTCAATGTTGAAGTTCCGCTTGTTGAATGTCTTGACAAGGTTGACCAAACCAGTGGGGTCGATCTTGTGTTCGAAATCCCAACGCAGCATTTCCTGGTGGAAAACGGTAGTCACTAAATCGTGGATGTCCCCTGCTAGTCTGCGCTGTACAATCAGTTTCCCGACGTCGTATCCCACGGTGATGAGTCGAGGGAGAAGGGAAACATTCAGTTGGGACCTGAAGGGGTTTTCCTCGGTAGTCGACACAATCATTGGGCCCAGTTGCTTAGGATCCCCGAAAAATCCGAAGGCAATCGGGAACAAGTAAACTAGGATTGGCAAAACCTCTGGTTCTTTCATCATAGTAGCCTCCTCAAACGCCACAAAAGAGGGATGCAGACTATGATATAGAGTGGGCTGAGCGATTGCCGAAGGGCAAGAAACAATGATGTCCGCCATACCAATCACGAGGCGCATAAGTCGTTTACAATCAGATTTGAAGCGCCTTTCTTCATCTTGTTCAAGGCGACCACCGGCATCCAGGCGGTTACGGTACAGCAAGGTAAAGCATGGGAATTTCTCTTCCGACTTGAATGGACCTTCAATGAGCCCAGCAACTTGGAGCATGCGCGTCCCTAGTGAGCATTTCAGTGTCTTGACGCGGTGATCCTGAAGCCCGTCGATAGGAGACTTCGTCTTAGGCTCTGTGCGCTCAAAGTGTGATTTAACGCTATCAAGGTACGCGATGACAGCGTTGTATGCGAAATCCTCATCCATGTCGTCTGCTTGGTTTTTGGTTGACTCATGCTCAGGCTGACTGATTGGATCGGTCATAGGGTATGTCCTTTGCGGTATGGTATACCTGCGCTCCGCAATACTAAACTCCGATTCAACTGAATGTACTCGAATGATCATCACAGGTTCGTCAGGGAGGAGCCGTGTCGCAAGATTATCCAGTCTCTCCGCGGTATTGTCGGCCGAGGCGTTTGTTGGGCAGACAATGACAGATTATCCTTTGACCATTTTCTTCTGAGGAGCCTCGTTTTCCCCAACAGTAGACTTGACATAACTGGTGAATGTTGGAAGCCAGCTACCATCGAAATCCTTTGGGTGAACGGGGTACTCAAAGTTACCGCGCTTTGCCTGAATAATACTCAACAGAGACAGAACGTGGGACTTTCTAGTCCCCGATGCTCTAGTCACGACAAAAAGGCGTCCGGGCATATGACCCAAGTTCGTGAAGATTTGACTAGCATCCGTGTAGATGCGATCATTCCTTAGCCGCTTAGTCATCTTGATCTGGAAACCCCCACTGCACTAACTATGTTGTATATATTGGAGGGGACCTTCGAGCTTAGGGCTGAGCCCTGGAGTCCACGTGGCTCGGGGACTCGAGGGTGTCCCTTTTCAACACCTGCTATTTGTATCCTCCATCTCTTCAGGATTATATAATGAGGCTACTCAGTAACTAGTTAAAGAAAGGACAGGCAAGGTCAATGCGTGGTGGAAGACAAGGTCCCCAACTACAATAGGTATCTTTTTTTAACCGTGACCCGAATCGCCTGGCATAGCTTATCACCTAGCGTCGGGCCAAGCTACCAAAAAGCGGATAGCCACGAATTGATGACGTGGCTTTCGAATACATTGCAGCCTTATCATATATGAACTGTGCCTTTTCCGCTCATGCAGGCAGATCTGCAATCTGATAAAAATTGATATACATAGTACATTTTTTCTCACTTCTCTTACCAGTGGGGTCTTGCACTGATCTCCCTCCAGAATGCGACCGCCATTACTTCTCCCGCTATTTGTCACGATTGGCACTTGCAGAACTCGTACCTTCCCGTTCGGGATCGTACCGTTGGTCGTTCCTTCCCGTTCGAGGGGAGTCGTTTGCGTAGGCAGTCGTACCTTCCTCCTAGAGTAAGCGAGGATAGGGCTTTGCCCCTAGGGGTATAAAGACCCTGGAGCTCTACGTTCTGTTTTCTTTCCTTTCCTCTTTATACGAGCCGAAATAATTGCTACGCTTCGCTCCGCAATTATAAATCAGAAGGTCTTGACTCTTACGTATGTGTCACGTGGCCAAGTTCTTCTAGTAGGGCTGAAATAATAGCAAAGTAAGTGTCCCATCATGTGATCATCATTTGCTCGCACTGCAACGACTATCTCGACGGCCGCAGGCCGGCGAGATCACTCGTAATAATAATCAATGCGTAGTGAAAGTCCAAATTTCGCAATCAATTAATTATCACCTATGATAACGCCGCCGGGCTTATAGACATGCAGTAAGATCGGGACAATCATGCGCTAAACCCAGTTGGACATAGGGCACTACTAGTCCTCATTACATCTATAAAACCGCCTATACAGAATCAGCACGATTATCCCCCAAAACACCACGCACAACCGTGGTCTTTCTGCTGTCCCCCTGGATTACCATATCGGATTTTATTGTAAGAAGCTTTTGGATATGAGGTCATGAGCCAGAACAGCGGTGAGAAATTTTTAGACCATTCTAGATAATATACATCGCATTCTTGACTAGTCGCTTGGATTCTAACGAAATCTCCTATCCTTTAAGAATACATTATTAATAGGTTATATACTTCTTTTATTTTTCTTTTCATTTAAATAATATCTTAAAGTCCTATACTAATCGGGTTGAGTTCAGGCGAAAAATGTAACCAATCCATCCCTCCACCTGGGCGCTGAACAATATACTAACAGACCATAAACTAGAGAAGGGGAATAGTAGATAAAAGATTTAACTTTTGATAAGTACAATATCCAGCGAATAACTAGCGAGGAACAATCCAAGAACCCCATCCTAGAGCCCCTGTAAACGCCATGTTCTATCAGCTAGTTCCTGAAGAGTCTCTCTATCTAGAGTAATGTCGTTCTCATTTCCAGCTGGCTGCCGTAGGAAAAGAGTTTCAAAGGGAATGGTCAGAAAGTCATTGGTGAATTCCATTTGTCCATTGACCTTTGAGATTTCGATCTGCTGAGTGCTTTGAACCCCTCCATCAATACGCTCCCATCGATCAATCATAAGCCGGGGACGCATCCTGTCGACCTTGATTGTGACTGTTGTGTTGACATTGCCTTTAGCTGGGTGCAGCCACCACTCAACGTCTCCCCGGAGCTTCATGTGAGACTCGGAAACTCCCACCTCTAGGGTCACCGTAGGCTTATCTGGAAAGCCTTGAGGGGCTGGAAGAGGTCCCCAGCCTTGATCTCCTTCTTTGCCACGGCCCTCTTCCCTGATTGTGGCCCCGGCGTAAAAGCGAACGCAGGCTGCAAGACCCATCTGGGTAATAACGCGGGTCAGCGCCAGGTTGACAAACTGACCGATGTCAGAGTGGATTATTGTGACCATCTTGACAAGCAGAAGGTTTGCTGCGAGATCGAAGGAATAGCGGTTGGGGCTAGAGAGCACAGAGGAATCAAGAATATCGGATTGGATTGAACGGCTAGGGATGTAGAAGAGGACGCAATCACTGGGAAGCTCGCCGTCTGGAATATTGTCTGTTTGATCAAGTGAGTCGCTCGGCTGGTGGACAGAAATGAAGTTGGGCGATTCTTTTTTTAGGAAGGAACGTGTGACTGGACGTGAATAGGTCTGCTGTCTATTCCCCTTTTGGATGTTACGAGATAACAGGGAATCGTCCTTAATTCCCGGATGGTCGGCTATCTCCTGAGGAGCAGTCAGTTGCTGGGATTGAGCAATCATGGACTTTTCAAGCCGGCGGAGCTCTATATCCATGATCATGCAGAATTGCGTTCCTCCTTCATATTTATACCTTGGTATAGTCGAAGGGAGGTCTTGTAAGAAACTGTCCCTATGAGGGAGTTCACATGAGCTGGAAAACATCTTCGTAGTAGTAAATTCCACGGGTATCGGGCCGTAGACATATAACACAGAGAAGTGATGATAGTCCTGAGACGGGTGAAATACGGTCAAAGAGAATCCAGGAAACTAATTTCTCATTGATTGACTATCTAATAAATCAGCCAGTCAGTCAGCGAAGGAAGCTTAGCAGTGACGTTATTATTTTCGTAGAAAAGTGTAATGAATTGTTAACCTCGGGACGTAACCGGAAAGGGAGCGGCGTATGGAAGCGTGGCTAATTCTGTGAGCGGCGGTCTTCTAACTACTATATCTATGACTAGTCATTTTAATGTTTTATATTAAGCACTAGACGACACATGGAGAACCTGGGGGTGGGGCAATGAGCGCAACACAAGTTTTAGTGTCGCGCTCTTCCTTTCCATCCGTGTATTCGCATACTCTCTTAAAGCAGACAATGAGAATTCCTTGATAGAGCTATGTAGAGTATCCTGAAAGTGCCATTATCTTTTTCTTTTAGTGAATTTATGGGTCTTGCTCCGTTTAGTGACTGATGAACAAAGACCTCGGTCAGCCTCATCCGCCATACATCCGGGTGCCCGAGTATTCTGCTACGCTACGGCTTGGTTTTGGTCGAAACGCAAGTTCATTCCTAATATGAATCAAGGTATCCTGCTTTTGCTGCTCCTGACTGAGGAGGCCATTTATCTCAGTGATAGATGGTCCAGGGAGGAGGGATCTTTGATGGTTGTCTGACTGACTCATCGCGGAGTGATACCGCACTAAAGCCAAGGCCTGTGCGCTGACGGTCTCGATCTGTTCACGATTAGCATCTATAAGCCTGAGCTATCAACAAGTTTTGGAGAGGGACCCACTGGCTGTTGAAGGGGCCGACCCGGGTAATAGTTCCTTACCAGCTTGAAAGACTCTGTGAAATCAAGAGAGCTTGGTGTTTGTTGTTCCGGCTGACATAACTGCTTTGGTTGAGGCGGATCGGATTTAGTATTTTACTGATGGGAATTTCATGAAACGTATTTGGAGGTTCGGCAAAGGATGGCTGTGCTAATGGGATCGCATGACAATGAACCCGTTTGAGGTATACAAATAGCTCCGGGTGCTTTGAAAGGCGACATCGTTCTTAAGAGAACGACCGTTCGGAGGGAAGGATGGATTTTCCGGGAGTATTGTCTCCGGATGCTGGAGCTCATTGATGGAAGACATTAAACGCCTTCTCTGGACTGGCTTATAGCTTGGAAGATAGCTCTCTAGTTTGGTTAGGACGTGGTTTGTGGAGAGTTGCAATGACGTGATGGCTTATACAATTCGGCCTTATACCGGATCCTTAAATACGACATTAGCCATATACGGCTTAGCGAAGCATGTGATTAGGGTTTGACAAAGACCCCCTCTGTTGCCCGACATGGAAGGCAAAATCGATCGTTACTGTAGGCATAGGATGTGAAGGAATGATGAGCTTTTCATTCCGATGATAAAGGCCTCGCCGAATATGGAGCAGAAACCTGGTGGTTCCTGGTTGTGATGGCAGCTGAAGTTACGTGCCACCAGGGAGTACCTTGAAACTGCTAAGCAGCCAGAGGCATGCTTTCAATGCTTCGCAAGTGAAGGCCTTCCGGACAAGGTTCGCTTTCAGATGTTTCATGATCCCGGGTGTGTTACGCGCCACTTTGCTGCTATTCATCTTAAAGAAGAACCACTCAAATGGAACTGGTGTGAAGTAGGCTTGCTACATCGAATGGCGTTCCAGCGTCATGCTTCGGAAGTGCATCGCGTGCGGAGTCGCTGGCGATGCCCGAATCCGATGCAGGGACTTCAAAAACAAGAATAGGCCGGCCATGGATCAACGAAGCCATTGACTCGGTATCCGTTTACTTCCAATTTGGAATGAAATCGCATTTGCCGTGCCCAGCGAGAATATAGACCAGAGAAGTTCCATACGAATCCCGCGCGCGAGAAGAACGAGCACGAGCAGCGGGAAAATGAAGCAGTTGGCAGCATCTGTCAGCAAAAATACCCTCTAGAGCTTTCTATTCGATTTGTGTTGAAAAATTTTGGTCCTTGGTTCTGCTTTATTTGTTCGAGCCACCGAGATTTGGACTCAGAGCTTTGCCTCTCTTGGGAATACGAGTGATCTCGCCGGCCTACGGCCGTCGAGATAGTCGTTGCAGAGAAAAGCCCCTCTTATTGGCTTATTGGCTTCACAGCTACCCCCGTAGGCTAGATCAACTCGCCTGCTTTTGTCATAATTCAGCTCGAAACTTGGCCACGTGACCTTACCTGGTCACCTGATGTTCCATTAAAACGCTATTATTTCTGGCCCCTGAGAAGAAAACTTGGCCACGTGACACGTACGTACGCTGGAGCTGAAGGTCGCTTATTAAGCGGTCCTGAATCAGGACGTATTAGGTAAGCCTCGATGGACAACGAGGTCCGAGAAAGGCACTGATCAATACACATGACCATATTGGGAAATGACGTGATAATATGCCTCGAGAACGGAAGACTCGAACGCCAGTCTTAGTTGGGCAGAGACGGATGGATTAACGCGGGTCTACCCGAAGATGACTGTGAATGGATACGAGCGTGGGAACGGAGTGCCTGAAGCGGTTGGGAATGTTTGTGTGGGAACCATCAAACTCTGTCTATGGGTCTAGTCCGCGAAAGGGATAATCTTACGCCCATCATAGGATTACAGCTGTGGTAACCGCTGATGCTTGGCTACTTTAATCTATCACATTCGAATGTGGAGAACAATTATACCTTTGATCCTCTTTGGGACAAAATTTACGCTCTGAATGATAAATACCATTTCACAGAATATAATCTATTCAGTATCCAATGAAAATCGCCGTCCGCAACTCCAATGGGTCCAGGATATACTATTATCATCTTTCAGTTATATACGTTCTACCCCGCCTCCCCTAAAAAAACCCAAGGAAAAGAAAGACCAAAAGAAATGCGCCAAAACTAATTGAATTAAAAGCTTCGGAACGGAAAATATAAAAAAGAATCGTTCCAGGTAAGGCTCGTAATTTTACCCAGTCGGCATCGTCCGCCAACGATCATCCAGAGAATCAGGTGCTTGCTCTATAAACCTCGTCTCATCCCCCATTCTCTGGAAGTTGGTTGGTTTGAAACGAACCGTGATCAAATCCTCGATTTACTCTCTGGTGCTTCAAGGGCAAATATGGATCTTGCCTTTTTCATCTCCCACAGCACCCCTGCTGTCAAGCCGGTCTATACTCTCCTCGAGTCAAGTTACTATAACCGCTCGCCGCAGCCGCATCTGCCTCTGCCACTGCCGGTCAAGGAGCAGCCCAAATTCTCGCTGCCGTCCATATCGACTCTGTTCGGGGATGCCGATAGTGCTCGGCACGCAGTCAGTGAGTAATTCACTATCATATCAATATATCATATCAATCTCATATTAAGCAACATAACTAACCTATCCTCAGAGCGCCGACGACTTGCTCCATCTCACCGTGACCGAGATGTCCAGATTCAGCCCTACGGACTGCCCCCGCCACCACCACTGCTTCCGCGCTCCGGAAACGACCACAGCAAGAGCCACTCCCCCTCAGAGCCTAACACCAAGCCGGACACACACCCGCACCGCTTCTCCATCTCCAGCACGAGATTCATACACCCCCCGCACAGCACAGCAGCACCATACGCCCCACCCGCTCTAAGTGCTAGTTCCCACTTATCCACCGTCGATGTCCTTCAACCAACAAAGTATTATACCCGCCCTCCAGCAACGGCATCCTTCCAGCCCGCCATGACTGTGACTGCACCGCAAATGACTCAACCGCACATCCAGGCCCAAACGCAGCAGCAGCCTAGGTCTCAGTCATCCTCTGCTCTGACCTCCCCTATTACTCTCACTTGGCATCACCACCATTACTCCCCGCGCTCCAGTTCAAATCTCTTCCAGAAGAACCGTGATCGCTATATGTGCCGCACCTGCCGTAAGGCTTCCTCGTGCCCTTTTTGGCTACACACCCATTTCCACTCGCGTACCCGCGAGAAGTCATTCCGCTGTACTCATGCTGGCTGTGGAAAGTCTTTCTCTGTTCACAGTTATATGAATCGTCCTGAACGGGGCTGCTACTCTAGTCGGCCGACTGTTGCTACTGACCTGGTGGTGTGATTGTCTTGTCGTCTTACTATTTTTCCTGTAGGGGTGGATTTTCTCCTTTGCTTCCTTTGAAGGGCGGTGTTTTGTTTGGCGTTCTTTCATGTGACGCCGTGATACCCTGGATCTTGGCCTTGGCCATTCTTTTATCGGATTCCTAGTTGCTTCAGATGAGCCGGATCTATACACTACTATATTATAGAATTGCAATCGTCAATATACATTCTACGGCGTCTGATTCTTTCTCCCTTCTTATTCTGACATTGTACTTTTGTTTTTGTCCTTGTGGTTGGCATTGTACCCGTGTCAAGACACCACCTATCCTTTCCAGGGTGTTGTTGGTGTTCGATTCCCACTACATTGATCTAGTTATTTTCCTACGCATGCGAGTGTATGAACTCAAAGATTCGTCCATCCACGCAAATGAATCGTCACCCTCCGATGTAGAAACTGTCTCATCATCGTCTACCGGGAATAGTGAAAATATCGGAATGAGATTGGAAACTAATGGGTGGTTGGTGCTTGCTATGGGTCTAGTCTTTGGAAAAATATGTATCATGAAATAGATGAGGTTGAAATACTACAGTCGGCGAGGAGTTCCTTTCCCCTGACCTGGACTTATGCATCTAAATTCTCCGTTGACCAACTGGTTAAAAGAGATAAGCCTAAAATAATGACCCTGTGATTTAGATGCATATTATAAAAAGGCTCAAAATTATCGGCTGTTGCTGGACCTTGAGATCTCGTGTGCAGTAATTGCTTTTGGGATGTGAACTATGTGGGTTTACCTTACATCAATACAGTGAATGCGAACAGCGATTGTTTTAGAAAAGTAAACCACCTAATTACTAGCGGAAGAGATGGATTCACTGCCAGGAAACATATCGGCAGCATGAAACTAGCGGGACTTTTGAGGCGGGCCAGAGCCTCACACTTCCATAGCTTGGCTCCATTTACCAGATCCTGGTCAAGAATTTGAAGAAACGGTACGGTGCAAAAGGATCATAAAGTTGGCGAAGTCAAACATGGCCGGCCACGCGGTAGAAACATTAGATCAAGAAATTGATCGAAATTTCTAATTCATTTCAACTACCTTAACAATTTAGGGAGTCTCATCAGCACATTAACTAAATAACCATCTCCATTAGCCAACTCAATTTCTTTTCACATGCACGTTTGCGGCACTCGGTATTTCCAGATATTAGATGCAAACAATTGACCTGTGGCTTCAGTGACTTTTTGTGGCAATCGATAAATTCCAGAGGACAGGGTCCTAGTGCGCCGGTCAGTCGCTGCAGCTACATTCGTGCCGTTGCAATATGCTTGAACACTGGTAACAAAGGCGCAGCGGAAGAATGAAAAGTGGAGAAGGGGGCGAAAAGTAAAATGAAGAGTGGTAATAATAACATATTTTGTTTTGCAGTCAGAAAGAGGTGATAGAAGCACAAATAAGACAGTACTAGCCGGCCAGACTTACCTTACTTATGTATAGTCTAGACAGAAAACCAGACTAATAAAGCTAGACAAGAGCCTCGACCGCATAGAGATTGGACTTGGTTTGCTGGGCGTTCACTAATGGCGCAAAGGGACTTTACCCTTGTATTTTGGACCCACTGCACCTGCGGATGGCGACTTTTATTGGATATTAGGATTCGCTATTCGGCAAAATGGTATTTATCATTCAGCGCGTATATTTTGCCCCAAAGAGGATCAAAAATAAGATTATTCTCCACATAGGAATATTAAAATCAAATTAGCCAAGCGATCAGCGGATACCACATCTGTAATTCTATAACAGGCGTAAAATTACCCCTTCCGCGGACTAGACCTATGGACAGAGCTTGATAGTCCCCACAAAAACGTGAATATCAGTGATGTTTTCACACACGTGCCTCTTGGTTTATGAAGAATGGCAACAGATGGCCATGAACGAGCGTAAAGGTTATCTCAATGCACGTTCAGGATCAGAGTTCCCTCAAGACCTAGGTTTTCCCCGCACCTCCACGCAAGCCTATTAATTAACATGACAAATGGTGTCGGTATTCACCAACATATCGCCGAGGTCTCGTGGAAATGGTTGATAGTTAATTTAGATGTAAGTGTGGTGATTACATAGCTTTTACCTATACCAACCGTAACTTCCACGATTGTCTGCCATCCAACGGAGAACTTATTTCTCCGATACGAACTCCTTGACAGCTCGTTCCGGGACCTGCCCTCCTTAGCGAGTATCTCAATGCTTTAGTCACCGGGAAACCTCCTGGCACCTGATTACAAGCGATTGAGCGTAGATATTGATACAAAACCCGTAGTATTTCGTGTGTTGGGGCATAACGATTAATTGAGGGCGATTACTTAGACTTCTGATTAATCACTGTCTTCATGTAAAGATTATGTTCTAATAAACATCGGATTTCAGCAAAGGGGAGTTCAGCTCGAATAATGTTACCGACCCAGGTAGCCAAACCAGTCATATCTCATGGAAGTGAAACTTTCTCAATGAAATGTTTACCGTGCTTGTTATAACCGCAGACAACCATGTCCACTGGATGGCTAATGTCCAACAACCTAAACTTTGGGATTTCTTCCGGAACCGCCGGCAATGCAATGGTTACCGCTCGACCTTGCTCCCAATATGCAGCAATTTGGGTGATAATGCGCTTAACGAGATGCGTCGGGTAGTGGGAGTGTTCGTAACCCCTCCCATTTATCTCAAGTTGTGGCCATAGGACGTCCAAGACATAAGAGAAGATCTCATCTGACCTCCAAAGTAGCACCATCTGAAGCATTGTTTCTGCCAGGCTGAGTGTGTACACATCCGAGGTGTTCGAAATTTTGAAATCCACTACACCAGCAATTTGACACATGCTGCGCGCTAGATTTTCAAGCCGAGTCGAACGCTCATCCACGACCGGAAAAGACAAGCAAAACGTATCTGCTCCATTTGCTTCTTCAAAAATGGTTTTGCAGAGCAGGCAATACAGGGCATTTATAGTGTCTCGGTGGTTCGGAAAGCTTTGACATATTCGAGAAAATGAGGTACGCCAGCTCATTTCCTTTTGTGTACCCAGGTCGGCAAGGGAACCTTTCGGTAGCTGATTTGCATTGAGTTGGGATCTCCACACCTCTAGTCGTTCCTTTTGAACCTCCAACAAACCCAGCAGGTGTGAACTTTGTACAAATCCTTCCCGAGCTTCGGCGTACTCCTCCGGTACACACCGCCTTCCCAACATTTTGTTCAGTATTTCGTACGCAAGGCTGCCGACCTCACTAGACAGCTCAGATATCTGGCGGCTGTCTGCAACGCACCGATATACTACCAATTTTGTCCGAATTTCCAACGACTTGATAAGGATATCGTATATCAGGTCGTCTGCACTCATTCCTAGGATACAGTCAAGATATAAGCGCTCGGTGATATCCGGAAGGAGATTAGGTCCAAGAGGACTAGCTCCTTGACCTTCCAGAAGCAAAGCAGGCGGCTTTGCTGGTCGGTGCGATGTGCACAGGCGGAACCACATTTGCAAAGAATCAGTGCCGCCCACTGAGTCCATTATTTGTGTCCTATAAATTAAAACAAACCGGACGGAATCCATTACCGCCAATCGAAATTTGAGATGATTGGTCGATGCGTGATGGTAAAGGGCGATGAGGACGAGCGCAGCAAGGAACGCAGGTGCTTGACGCTTGATGTCATCAAGATGCGCGTTGCAGAAATGCCAGAGCGTCAAATCTTGATAATTTTGAGCATGACGGTGATGCAAGGCATTGACAAGCGGGCTGAAGATCGATCTTCGGCGATCGATAGCCGAAATGCAGCTCTGGACTCGCGCATCTAGCATGGACAGATTCGATGCAGATATACAAAGTATCGCAAACCGTAAACAGAGAGGTTGCAGAGATCCTTCTGTGAATCGAAGAGAAGCTGCAGGAAGAAGATGGCGGACATGGCTATGGAAATGGTTGAAGTAGCCAGCCTCATGGATGTCTTCGGAACTCGGAGCCATCGGAATTTTCGCGGAAGAGAATCCGCCGAGCGAGTGGAGCGGGAAAGCAATGTCGTTTGTGCCTGACGCGATGCTTAGTGTGCTAGGTTTGAAATCCGTCACTGGTCGAGATGAAGTATTTTTAGCCGTAGTAAGCTGTTGCTGGAACGATGCACCATTCAGATTTCGAAAACTAAAATCGATACCATAAGTGCAGTCCAGCGATAATCTTGCGCAGGCTTGGCAGCAGGGCTTTGTCTGATCGCACTGAAGAAGTTCAGAATATGGCTAACCAGGGACATAGGGAAACCACACTGACTCGCTTGGCTCTTCTGCGGCATGGTTTGCAACCTGTATGGGTACGTCGAATTTTAGGTAGCCTGAGGGTCTCGGTAGACTCGACCTGTATCGGCATATTTGGCCTGGGTAGTATCAGACGTGTCTGCGCCTCGCAATTAGCAATGCCGGAAGTTGAAAGAGGCGGTTGTGCCAAGAGTCGTTAATAAGCCAACATCTTAATGGATATCCACACCTGCCAGATATGGAAAATTATTACGCCAATACATGTATCGTATCACAACAAGGTTTAGCGGTTCGGCCACGTGAAGTGATACTAGATAAATTGGCAACCTATTGAGCAATTATTTTTTTCTTATCTTTCAATCACAGCGGCTGCATTTCATCTTTTTCTTTCTGCTGGATTCGATTATTTGCGCCCAGAGCGAGAATGGCTCAACATTTCGAACCTATTCAGTAATTGGTAGTGCTCTGACACCACTTCTTAGTGGTATATAGACTTGGCATAAATCATGTTTTTCAAGTAGCAAAAGCGCTCCCAGCCGAAGGTTTACTAACGACCAGGGTCCTCAGTGTCCCCCTTTCTTTAGCCTTGAAAATCGTGGGTACCTAGGGCTAAGTGAGGATCATGTGATGCGGGTCCCGATTGACGCGGCTGTCATTGGTTGTCTGAGATACTTTCAGAGCCACTACCGGTTGCCTTAGATTCTCCGCTTTACTTCAACTGTCAGATCACAGCGGCGAACGGAACCTGACGTATCAGGAGGAACCGTATCAGACCGATGATCTCGGAAGCCACTATGCCGGACTTTAACCAAGGCCCCTACCCTTGGGTACATGTCATTCTTTATTTGACTCTCATCCCCAAAATTCTTTGGCCCAACAAAAAGATTCTCAGACAACGATTCCCAGAAGTCGTGTGAAAAATGGTCCCCCGCCAAAGAGAGCAACCGGCTCTTGATGAGCGCACACCCCTCATCAACGATCCTGAAAATGCTGAAGCTCCGAGTTCTACTCCTAATAGGGATGATGCACAAGGTCGGATTCCGACCAGGATAGCTTATCGCCTGTACATGTCACATTTCCTGTCAACCTGGAATTCCCGCGTCTTCGAATTCGGGGCCGTTCTGTACTTGGCCTCAGTCTATCCAGGAACACTATTACCTATGTCTACCTATGCGCTCTCTCGTGGACTAGCGGCAATCATCTTCGCCCCGGCGGTGGGATACTACATCGATGTCGGCAACCGTTTACAGGTCATTCGGATTTCAATCGGTAAGTCTCTTTATCGACCAGACCGAGACAAGCGCATCCGTCGGTCAAAACCACTGACTACGTTAGTATTACAACGGCTTGTTGTGGCTGCATCGTGTGTGATCTTCTATCTGCTAGCGATCGGCCTACCAATGACACGAGTGGCCAACACCTGCTTGCTGGTAATTCTCACGCTGCTGGCTTGTTTTGAGAAGCTATGCTCTGTCTTGAACTTGGTCTCTGTGGAAAAAGACTGGGTAGGGTTATATAAGCCAGTTAATTAATGCTATCACTACTGACATGATTTTGCAGGTTTTGATCATTGCCGGAGAAGATTATGAATGCCTCAGGAGTGCGTTATACAGATTCAATATAGATTGACCATCTCCATGCTAACTTGCCATTTAACACAGCGATGAACGCCCAAATGAGACGAATTGACTTGGTCTGCAAACTAATTGGGCCTCTTTTCATCGCTCTTATCGATGGTATATCAACCGAGGTCGCTATTCTCGTCAATCTCGGGATGAATGTCTGTTCGGTCGTGGTGGAGTACTTCTCGATCGCCAAGGTATGATCTCTAGAACGTAGCCTTCAGCCTCGCAGAGCACTGTTCTAACATTCTACCTTAGGTGTATTATGAAGTGCCAGAATTACAAGAAGCGAAACATTCATTGCTTAAATTTCGAGGGGTAAAACCAGCACAGCAAAGTTTCTTTATCAGCGTCTGGAGAGCTTGCTGTAAAGGTGTACGGCGGGCTTTGGGAGACTTCGGTTTTTATTTTCGGCATCAAGTGTTCCTCCCGTCCTTTGCTGGAGCATTGCTTTACTTGACAGTTCTGTCATTTGCGGGACAGATGGTCACTTGGCTTCTGTTAGCAGGCTATGGTTCGACGCAGATCGCCGTTGCAAGAACCTTGTCTGTTATGTTTGAGATGCTGGCTACCTGGGTTGCTCCTTGGCTGATGGGGAAAATCGGGCCCACTCGTGCTGGTCTCTGGCTGGTAAGTTGGCAGATTACATGCCTAGCAGGTGGCATGGCTATTTTCTGGAGTTACGCTAGCCAACCTCTCCTTTCAGCATCGGGTCTCGTGGGTGGTACAATTCTCAGCCGGGTAGGCTTGCGAGGGTTCGATCTATGTGTACAGATTCTTATTCAGGAGGTGAGTTATTCACGGCCTTGCCAATGCCTTCTTTCAATATATAGCCAGGCCCTGACTTTCATGGGACTTTACAGGGTATTGAAGCCGAGGCGCGAGGCTCTTTTTCGTCGATAGAAGCTGCTTGGCAGAACCTCTTCGAGATTTGCTCTTATGTCTCCACGATCGTTTTCTCACGGCCGGAACAGTTCAAGTGGCCGGCCCTTATCAGTGTGATTGCTGTTGGCCTTGCCAGTCTGCTGTACGCGATCTTCGTACGGATCGAGCGGGGGCACTTGGTGCATCTGCCGAAGTGTATTGCCCCGGAGCGCCTGCAGCGCTCGAGAGAACGGGGTCTGGATAGAATCCTCTCAGCCTCCAACTTCTAGTTTCTACTTTCTAATTTATTTCGCTCATATGGCCAGTGGGTCTGTTCCCATCTTCTCTTCCACGCACTGGCAAAGCACAATCGATGTGACTCCTATTTCCCCATTTTCACCTCATGTATATCTAGCTGTCGTACATTGGGCGTTTCATTTTCTTCTATATCCCATATGGCTGGTTTGTGCACCCATGGACCCTGCTGATAATGGTAATCGCATGCATCCTCCTACGCCAATTATATCTAGAGTAGTACAAGCGCCACAGCTCGATCAACGTAGACTTGACCTCGACCCTTTGCTCAGATCCAGTAGATTAGGGACGGTTCGAAACAAGCTCAATATCCCGCATGGCTGGCCTTGGCTCCTTGGCGCTCCTTGGCATCTTGTTTGACAAAAAGGTCATAGATCTCATTGTCCCATCTATAAGATGTAATAATTGGCCTCATCTCGATTTCGCGAGTGTTTCTCCGACGCTGTTCTTCATATACAGCCATCTTGCATACGCCATCCTTTGTCAACTATTTCTCTTGGCACAGCTTTCACGGCTTGCGAGTGCGTACTTCGTGATCAATTATCTGCTTTGCTTGACAGTTCTGTCACTTGGCTACTGTCGGCAGGCTATAGTTCGACGCACATCGCTATTGCCAGAATCTTGTCTGTCATATTTGAGGCGCTGGCCACCTGGGCCCCACCTGGGCTGCTCCTTGGATAATGGGGGAAATCAGGCGAACTCGTGCTGGTGGTCTCTGGTTAGCAAGTTGGCAGATTACGTGCCTAGCAGGTGGCATGGCTATTTCCTGGATTTCCGGTAGCCAACAGTCACAAAATAGAACTATTCTAGTGTTCCACTAACTAGTCGTCTATCCCGATATATGTATCTAGACACTTATATACTTAGTTTAGTTATTCGTCTTCAATCATACTTCGTAACTTCGTGACTATTTACTTTACTTGATTATAACTTGACAACCACAACAAATAGTCCAATACTTCGGTATAGAACTATCCAGCGCTCTGCCTAGCGTCGCTCCTCGATGCCCTAAAAGGACTCGGCCCATACAAGGCCTTCGAGGCAACGGTACAGTTGAGAGACAGATCGTTTATGCTAAAAGACTGAGAAGCATAAGGCAAGTATCACTATAGACCCTTCTAATATGTGCGTACATAACATACGATTATAGAGCAATATTCCCTTAAGAACTCTCCCAACCAATATATACCCATGCCCATGGACACTCCTATTTGATTTTGGTAGCTCATGTTCTAACTAATTTTGTGATTAGGAGCGGAGCGTATTGGGGCGCTAACCCAAAAAGGCAGTAATTCACAGGCGCCGTTTACATACTCAAAAAACCCTACATTTTGATTAGAAAGAATTAGAAATGCGTATTTTATCTCATACCTACATGTTTTAATCCTGATGTCGATAGAGCAATTTTGGAGCAGTTTTGGAGCACATGTTGAAGTTCTGAAGTTTGTTGAAGCAGTTGTTGGAGCAGTTGTTGACGATGAAGTAGATGTGGTGGTAAAAGTGACTTAATTTTGTTAGTGGTTTACATACAAATTGTAGGTACCTGCTGTCTTGCTACTATATGGGGGTACTAGTGATCTCGACGGCCTAAGGCCTCCAGATAGTCGTTGCAGAGCGAAGCGACTGATTCTAACTTCTAATGCTGCGCAAAGCCCCCCTCTTACTGGCTTATTGGCTTCACAGCGACCCTCGGCTAGATTAGCTCCCTTGCTTTTGTCATAATTCAGCCCACCTGAGAAAAAACTTGGCCACGTGATACGTACGTAAGACCTTCTGATTTATACTTGTTTCGCTTCGCTCCGCAATAAACGCATGTGGGCCAGGTGTTGAGGCAGGAAATGTACCTAACTAGGAAGGCGGTACTGAAATGAATATGCAAAAGGGGGCTTTGCGTAGCATTGGAAGTCAGAATCACTCTGCAACGACTATTTGGAGGCCTTAGGCCGTCGAGATCACTAGTACAGCCTAATTCGGCATCGGGCCAGTCAGAGCTGGGCGTCGGAACTCATCGATCCATGGATAAGTCTCATCTCTCTTTGCTTCCATCTTCTTTCTTCTTCATCACCCCATTTCAAGTCAAACACCAAGCAAAATGAATCCAGATTGCTCCCGAGAGGAGTCCAAACCTCCACTTTTCGCCCAACTCGGCGAATTTTCAAAGCTACCACCAGAGCTACGCTTCCAGATCTGGGACTGTCTCTTTGACGATTTCTTGTGGAATACGCCCAGCACACCCTGTGGTCTATCCATTCTTTCTTGTAATCGATACCTCAACGAGGAGACAACTCGTATTCTATACGAACGTCGCGTCCTCTCTCTTACTATCGTCATTCGTTGCTCGCCTGAAGGAGGAAGAACACCAGAATTCCACGCTATCGTGAAGGCGGCAAAGGGTGCGGGAAAACTAATGGGGGTCAAATTCATGGGATTGAGCTGCCTTGATGATGTTCTTCGACTTGTCCGAAATTTTCCAAGCTGGAGATTCCAGAAATGTGGGCCGTGGATTCACGTCAACTACTTCTGTTTACTGTGCCCCAGCGAAGAGTTAGAGCTGTGGGACTGTGTTGTCAGGGTCGTCGACACTTTGAAACTCATACCGAACGGCAAAAACATCACATTCAATACTTTCTATCCCTACCCTCTACTTCGAGAGCAAACAGTAGGACTAACGCGGAGCGGTGTGATAAAGGACTGGTTTGATGAAAGATTCCCGGGGCAGCCTGTGCCGTTTCGGAGCCGCCATCGTCCAGACATTCGTGATCACGGTTATCCCCCCGGTCCATGCCTAATCATTCCGGTCTACCACTATACGGTATTGCAGGCCATGCGTTCTGCCGAGCTAAAGCGACATGAACGAGATAAGCTGGAGGTTGAGTTATGAGCTGTGAGATCCGGAGTCTGCGGCCTATGAAAACTGAGCCCATGAGCCTTTCAAGGCTACAGCTTGAAACATTTCCTCCCAGTCACCAAGTCCTTTCACATCCCGCTGCCGCCCCGTCTACCGGCGAGAACGACCTGTATCTGTTGTCTCTTTACCAAGAGTTGTCACGATCCACTACAGGTCGCTATCATATGCTTCATGTTTGCTTGCTCGCTCGTTTGCTTGCTTGCTTACTATTTGCATTAGATATATTGTTTGCTGGATATCTAAGCCAGATGTTCGAGGTTTGCAATGTTCGCAAAGGGACAGCTATATCAACAGGCTGCCTCCCATTTTGCAACTTGCTTCTTCTTTCTCTCCCCATCTTGTTATTCTGTATTGAATGCACTCTTCTATCTTTGGAAGACCTGGCACGTCACAAGAGCTTGTGCTTGTGGTGAGCTACTTTCTACTACTTTCTCTGGTCACACTTTTTTGTACATAGATCTATTACTTGACACACCACCAGGCTCCTTGGGGCTCACATTACTGACCAGTCTCGAGATCCGTCGGACATGGCTAGGTGGCATCGGAGAATCAGTGCAATGACCCGAGCATCGAAGGCTCGTAGGCAATACATAACTTGATCTGTTGTTCAAGATCATTTGACTTGCTGTTGTTTGAGATCGGGTCCCCTTTCCACTATGTGAATGAAATGCCTAACATGAAATGCTAATATAAATGAGCCTTACCCGCCGTAGCAACACACACAAAGAGCATCAAACAACAGATATGCTTGAGAAATTTCAGTTTCGGGTTTTTATGAGTGTAATATTCAGAAGATTCGGATCTTCATCGGCAAAGGCAAACACAGACTGCTGTATTTGAACTTCGGTCTATGAAACATTGTGTTTCACATTTGGTTGCATCTTTCTGGGAGCTGAAAGAATGTTAGAAATAGGCGTCAACCGAAGTTACATGGTGATTGAAATCAATACTGGGAAACACAGTCTACGAAGAAAACAGTAATCAAGAAACGGTGATTCTTATAAGAAGTAAAGGGATCGCATGCTCATCAAATACGAATGAAGTATATTTGTTACTAGATAAATACTGTATATGAGCTCGTCTTAGCTTCATCCATAAAGGATTACTAGACCCCAGCACCACGATAAGGTACGAGCTCTTCGCTGGGGGGGAGGGGCTACTTACCATACTTACCTTGACCTACCTCTTACTTACCTTTGAATTTCGTTGTGAATGCAAAAAGGGGCGCTGTTCCGTGTGCCGCTAGGACGGGTTCGTTAACGGCGCGATGGCGAGTAAGTCGGTTCCATCGTTGGCACGTAAGGTAAAGGATCTGAACCTGCCCGGCCCGGCCGTGGTTGGTTCAGTCGCTTTGCCTCTCCGTCTTTGCCGTACATCTGGTCCAGCCGGTCGTGGCGCAATCCCCGGTTGAGATCGCGCATCAACTCCTCCTGCTGCATGGAATTAGGCATGGCATCGTGGAATATTAACTCACCAGGAAGAGGAGCATCGGCCATCCAACTCCTGAGGTCTCCGAAAGATCTCACAATACGTTCCCAGGTAGCACGATCTTGGTGAAGTTCATCGGGCAACACATCTCCGAGTTTGCCGGCATCGCGGGCGATATCCGGGGGACACTTACCTCGAAGGTTGCTGCTGTGGCAGAGCTTGTTCCGCAACGCGTACGCCTTGATTGCCGACCTTGCCATAGACTCGTCGATTTGAATCCCCTCCCTGTTGTTGAGAAGATCGACCAGTCGCCTCAGAATTTGCCAGGCCCCAGGGGGCCCTGACAATTCTTCGACGGCCTGGTCTTCTTCACCAATGTCGAGTTCGGCATCAAATGCGACAACGGTGTCTGGCAGAGGCGTGTTGGAAAGTCGCGAGATCCTACGTAAAACATTCCACACCATGCCAGCATAATCACCATACCGCAGAAGGAATCGGACTTGCCTGACCGTTTCTGCTGCAACACTCACTTCCGCCCCTCGATCCGGCCCGCCATCATCTCCAAAGGATAGCTCATCGGGTGACCCCGATTCACGTCCAAAGGTTAGACCGATAGCCGTAATGACCTGGGTAAGTCCGTCAACTCGCGGAGCGAAGCTGCCGTCGGAAGTGGGACTTGACGAACTCGGTGCAGACGACGACGAATCACCAACTGCAGCAAAGAACCCCATGGGCCCCGCGGGCTTTACCGGGGAGGTGGTGGTATCTGTACTATAGTTAGCAGATGAGGGGGGAGAGGGGGACCTAGCTTTGCGGTCGGTCCGCGCTTCGCAGTCGGTCTGCGGACTGTATGAGATGTTAGCAGTTTGCTTGCGGCCATCTTTGATTTACTTACAAAGAGTCGTCCATTTCTGGTACGACAGAGGGGTTCAGGGTTCGGCGTCGGTGTCGTGAGGCAGGAGGAGTTAAACAAATTATATAAGTCGTTTTTTCTGTAACTTAAGCAGAAAGTATAGAAAGTTGAGGAAAAGAAGAAGAGAAGAGAAGAGGGGAGACAGACAGGGAAATTAACAAAAGCCTTTCAATTCATCATAGGCAGGCACAAGTGGCTTTACAACTCTCTGGTTAGGGCAAGTCCCCAGGTGCTGGTTGTCCCAGAGACGTAGAGTAGAGTGGAAGTCACGACTGCAAATGAGTATACTTGCCCAGGTGGAAAGATGTACGGGTTCTGGGTGATAAAAGCAACAGAAAGGAGGACATATATACCAAACTGCCGCCCAATAACGCAGTAGTAGCCCACTGCTCACAAAAATGTAAGCATATGACAATTAAGATCCTCAGCTACGCAGCCCTGTGGTTTGGGTACTGGCACGCTTTCGTACACTGCACAGAGGTCTCATTGCGAGTACGCTCTCACTCACTCGAAGCATCTTTTCTCTTTTGGACAGTCCGGCAGCAGACCTTAGGTTGTGAGCTAGAGATTGGACTGCTCCGAGACGTTACAGCAAGCCATGTGCGAGAGACTGCTCAGATCCTCCATATCCAGAATCCTGATTTTTTCTCTTCTTTCCTGAATCCTGAATTCTGAATCCACTTTTCTTCTTCTTTTTGAAACTTCCAGGCAACGGTTCCAGTGCAAAATTTGAACCTCGCTACCTCCTCTTGATCTTCGTCAAAATAAATCACCAATACCAACAAAATTGTACAGAGTTTCGCGCTGAATTTGCTACTACTTTCGTCAACCTCATAGCGAGATCCAGCAGCTCTAGTTGATATTTAAGCTTTTCAAGACATATCAGGTCCAAGTTCAACACCAACCTACTTCTTCATTTCCATACCGCCAAAACATTCCAATACTTCCCTTAGAAGTTTACCGCTCATCTAAGTACAACACATGGATGCTGCTATTCGTGCAAGATCACCTTCCGAGATTCAACGTCAACTTCTCAATCTCGCCAGCTCCTTCGCGCCATCATTCCAACGTACATAATAATACAATTATTGATCAACTTCGCGTGTGTACGACAACCACAACAAGATTCAACAAGCTAGATTATCTCCCTTTCGAATAAGCAGGACACCGATCTACGCACCGCTTAAATTCTCACTTCGGAACCGAAATTCTTCCTTTGATCTTCAACTTATACAAAAGTTCTTCAAAATTTGTTTATTCAACCACTTGACAGTTATTATTTCTCTCTGCATTCGAGCACGCCACGTTCTTCTTCGAAGGCCAATGGCAACCATAACTGCCATTGCCAGTCTTTCAGCATCTAGAGAATAGATGGATCTTTTCACGGGGTTATATGACGATCCACTACAGATCATTATCGTATGCTTCATGTTTGTTTGCTCGCTTACTGTTTGCATGTTTACTAGTTTTCATTAGATAGGTTGTTCCATCCATCATATCTCACGCTCTTAGGTTTAGCCCTAACCCTTTCGGTTTAGCGCTCATTGCCCTTATCCCCGTGCATAGATTCAAATCCCTCCCATCGCCGGGGATTGATCTAAGATTATTTAGAAGATGCGGCTTATGTTTGGCTGACGTACCACATGAGCCGTAAATCTCTTTACTGGGACGGTCGGCGCTAGATGAAACTGTGCGTTGCTTGGAATGGGCGGCGATGTTGTTTCGTCGTGAGACCTTTGTGCATCACGCCAGCGCATGAAACTTAGGGTGCCTGAGGAGATGAACTATTTTCGGAGAATGTCTCTCAACTTCTAAGACTTCCTAGAATCACCCCCAAATTGCGAATCTTATTCCACTAGGGAAAATTCTCAATGCATTTTCTGGTACCTAACTGAAATAAGCAAAGGGATTAGAACAATTTACTGCGCGGACTACCATTTCCATCCTGAGGTATCATGATTCCATTCATTTTTGAGCCATACATTCGAGTTTGGTATGGCGAGCTTAAAGTGTGCTATCCACATAACGTCGGGGAAGATCTCTTTAGGTTTGCCCGTCTTATCCGACGAAGTAACTAGAGATCATTAGTACTAGCTTGCGTAGTCACGTTGAAAATAAAGACTGTGTGCTTAGATGTACAGGGTTTTTGACTTCTTATCCAAGACCAGGCTACGCAACGCACGCACATCAGGGAAATATCCATTTTCTCTTATCAAACTAGTATCGACGTTAGTTATGAAAGGCAGAAAATCTGTAACCCACTTACGAGAAGTTCCTCAAGGAGTTTTGACGAATCTCTTCTCTTTCGGCATGATCTAGATCCCAGAACGCATCGGGGCTAGCCCTGCTACCGAGATGGAGTCCTGGTACCATCTCCCACACGAGGTAGACCGCGAAGCCATTCGGGATAAGCCCCGACTTGTCTTGTGCAGTATTTTTCTACCCCAAGAGCTTCGGGGTGAAACTTAACCCTAGCGCAGTAAGTTCTTGATAGGCGGTTAATTCCGGGGGGACGTGCTTTATGGCCTGACGGGCTCTTGTATCCGGACCATCCATCTCAGTACCACGATAAGGAACTTGAAGGTATATTCGCATGTAAGCTTTTATTTGGGAATTTTAGGGTCGCGACAAAGCAGTTTGGTGACGGCATAGGAAAGTTTTTCCCCACGGCGACGATCGGCTTCGAATAGCTGCTCATCAGCTTCACTGAGCCTCTCCACAACTTCCCATTTCGAAGCAACGGGCTGATCAAGGGTGATGGTAGTTCCCGGGCTGATGCCTTTCCGGAACCAGGTGGGCATTGTAGAGGCGAGCGGGCAATGAAGCGTTGGATGATAAGCTTGATAACTGATGGGACAGGGAGTCAGTGATGCATCTTCTGATTTAGAGGAGAATGAAGATAGAAAGAAGGGTTTTTACGAATGAGATTGTATGAAGTGCTGAAAAGAAATGAGAGGTGGGAAAGTCTATGTTCGGAATGATGACATTCTTGATCTGGATACGAAGCTACGTGAAAACCCGCTTTTGGGGGGTTATTGTGTTTAATACAACGTGATATAAATGATCCATGTATTAAATTGAACTCGTGCATCTCAATTTTCGGAGGTGAATTCGTTTGCAAGTTTACATGTCTAGTAGGTGCAGCCACTGTGACCCGAAAGCTCAAATATAAATCAATAAGCATTGAGTGCTCGGTTCTCACTCCCACTGCTTCATGAGGGTGTTGGCCTCAATCTCATTGCCAAAGTTGACAAGATGAGTAGAATGGCACCAGGGCTTGATATTCTCCTCCTTGCGAATGACGCCGGAGAAGACCGTAGACCACTTGAGGCGCGGATAGGCCTCATTGATCTGCGTGCGGGTGGTTTCGTGGATCATTTCGGCAAAATCCTTGACGTGCGGATGGAAACCGGTATTGTCGTAAATCGTGGCCAACTGGATAAGTTGACCAATGTATGTGATCGTTCCATCCACTCCCATATCCTGGTGTCGGATGATTGCCTCAGCAACTGCCTCGGCCTGATCTACAGTGGCGCCAAAATCCTTAAGGATAGAGAGGGCCTTGATGCCCCCATATATATCAAAAGACATCCGGGTTGCCGTCAGGTTTTCCTCGGCCGTGCCGATATCGTGCAGCAAACATGTCAAGGCCCAAGTCGCTGGGTTCAGAGTAGCAGATCGCTCGGGGAACTGCTGCTTGGTAATGGCCATTCCTAAGCATATGTTAGATGCGATTTTTGGGCATTACTAGGGCTATGCGCAACATCTAGCATACCGTAGAAGTAGACCCTCATCGAATGGTTGAAGGTTCCGGGATGCAGGGTTTCCTTTGCATACTTCAAAGTCTTCGCGACCACAGGATCATCAAATGGGAATTCAATATCGGTGATAGAGAGAGACTCTGGCTTATTGATAAAAGGCCGGTCGCCGAAGATGGCGCCAGCATCAGCCGCGATGCTGGTCCAGCCATTGGTGTCAATTTCCTGGTGGCACATAGTGTAATGGAAAGAGTCGGAAGAACGAGGGAAGCTTTGAATGGAAATGGAGGGAAATTGATAGTGGTTGAGAGAGTAATGAAAATGGACGGGATATATAGCCTTTAAATATTACTCATTTCACCCCGTTATTAATTCAAATTCGGGAAATGGAATCCTTGCTCGGTCCGACAGAGATTGAAAGCATCCTATCAGCGATAATTCACTGGCAAATTTGTCTTTCGTGAGCTGGATATTTCCCGGACCTGGTGAAGTCGATTGAGAGTGGAACTATACTTACCCGATTAGGAAGTTATGCCAGGTGGGGCTATCCGGGGCAAATTTCCGCGCAATGACACATGTCGTTCACATTCTTTCGCATCTATGGGAAAATCTTCAAAATGTCAGACACTATCCGAGAAAAGTATTTATTGAGCAGGGGTAGATTGGTAAGCCCTAGTCGCCTGAATAGGAAGTTATGGCATGTGGTGCTCAAATTAAATTATGCCAGTCCAGGTAGATGGCTGAGATATAACTACTTCTTTAAAAGCTGTATTTGTAAACAATATTTGGGCATAATCAAATAAGTTTCTATTCTTTAATAGCCAACAGTAATCTCCAACCTACGAAGTACTAAGCCGATATTTTATTGGGCTAGATATACTGACATATTTGTAGAGTCCACTAGGATTTAGTGGCTTTGCAACTACCCTGATGACCCTTTGGCTTTCTGTGATGGCTTCCGTGTGTATTCATTGCAAATATTCCATAGAAGCAATACAATAGATCAAATAAGCAGCCAGCCTTGTTCGATTACATATAATTCAGATTCCCCCGACGCCAAATTGCCATCGAAACTCTTTCGCTTCCAATTTTCATGCACCATTTTAGAAGCGCTTATCACATTCAAACAACTGGTGAGGTTCCAAAGCATCTTTAGAAATCCAATGACCAGCTTTTGCTCACTATAAGTCCGGCATTCGAGACCGGCAATGAAGGTCGGCCACAGTAGGCACTTGAACAAAGCCGGGTCGCATTGGAGAGAGTCAATCACGTCAAGTAATCGCAACACCAACTCCTCATTGCCAGATGTTATCGGCTCGGTTGATGTCTTGAAAGCACGAAGCACTCGTTTTCCATAGAGCATGGTGGCAGTTTTGTATGCTTGAGATAGCAAAGAAAGCTTTTGAATCTCCACTGCTGAGGAAACGCTTGATTCCACGGAGTTTGACGCCCATTCCAGACAATCAAAGTTTGCCGTCAGCTCAAGCATAGTCAAAGTATTTTGCATATGCCCATGAATCGAGAGGTCATCATGCATGTCTAAGCTCTTAATCACGTGTCTTTGGTTGGAGAAATAACGGATAGCTCTAAGAAGGAATACAGGGCATCCCAGAAAGCTTCGAATAATGGATTCATGGTTCCTGCTTTCGTCAAAGTTCATACAAAATTCAGGACTCGACTTTGAACCTGAGAGTGCACCTCCAAGGGTTGAGACACTACTATTGTCAGCGACCTCACAATACAAACCGTAGAGAAGAAGGAATCATACAGCGAAAACTGTCGGGTGATGAATCGCCTTGTCTCCTCTACCGTCTCTCCAGGGTTGCCGTTGATAGATTCACTATCACTAGGCTCCAGCATCGAGTGAGAAAGATTGACGACCCCTTCTGCACCACGGAGATGATATTTCCAACCTTCGATGCCGGACTCGAGGAGATCAAGAAAAATTAGAAGGAGAATTGCTGGCATTATCGCGTCCTTTTGAGAAGGCTCTGGATGGGATAATGACAATGATAATGCCTTGATGGCTTGCTGTTTGAAATGGAATGCATGCAAATTGGCATTGATAAACCGAGGCGACAAGCCATCATTGACCTGATCAAATGACTGGCCTGCATTAGCGAAGTGTCTTGCAGCAACGGCAACTATAGTCTTTCGCAAGGTTGAATTTTCCATCGCGTAAGTGAGCAACCTTCTAAATGGATTGCTCTCACTGTCATATAGAATAAACAACTTGGCGACGCGTAAATTATCTTGTCTGACATTAGTGCACACACGGGACCATTCAGCTCGCTATGAACCCACAATAATCAAGATAAAATCTCGATGACCGATCGAGATTGTGTATGCAGGGATCTTGCAAGGCGAACGAGGGAGTAATATTTGTTGTCAAAGACTTCGTGCGCGAATGTATGACTTGTTTCTGTTCTAATTGCGTAGGTGGATTTTCATCAGAGGCTTTGCGGTCCTCTCCAAATATATGTCCACGCATTTTACCCCGAATTGCTACACCTTTCACCCATCGTAGCGGTCTTTGTTCAAAGCATTCCAGTCCAGCTTTCTCGCACTTGGCGCAGGGGATGCTGGTTTGGTCACATCGGATAGTGCGATTGCGGCATGTCCAGCATGCTGTGGACATTCTGCGAAAAGGCCTGGCTGGCGAAGAGAGGAATCAAGACAATCGGAAACACACGCCTGTCAGATTCGAGTTTTAGGATGTTGCCGCATACGCCAGCCGGAAATATAATGATCCGCGCAGGATGACTCGCCTCATGTCCAAACGCCACTGTTCCCAATGGAGATGGTGAGGTGGCCCGTGATCCGCCATGCGGCTAATCACATGGCTTGGCTGTAACTTCAGCCGCGTGTAATTTACAATCTTAATACATGTGTAGATTACGACTCAGCACTCCTTCCTAATTCGGAATGATGTACATGCGCTCAAAGAAAAGGCAACTTTTGCTTTTCTTGCCGCTCACGCTAGGGTCATCGGCCTGCCTATCGGTGTGCCTATTGGTCGCTTATTTGATTTTCCACACCTGTACAGAATGTTGTACATGGATGTCTCCGGGATTGCAAAGCCGGTCTACTGTCGCTGTCTCTGATCCCTACACCAGGGGTGTCCCTAATCTTTGATCCACAATATATGAACAATATGCGCCAGTCAATATCAATACTATGCCACCAATATCCTTACCCTCCTTATTCTCAGCACCTATCTATCCAGAGACTGACTGCTTTTCCTGGCCTGTGCCCTTGTATCCTTTCATGCTTCGTAATGAGTTTACAATTTTATATACTCTAATGTTATATATCTCAAACCTACCCAGATGAGCGTGTTATTTTTAAGGGGATTTTCCCAACATCATTGTAGCAAATACTCATGCGAACTGGTATGCGTTTGAGCCAAATTGATACATACGGGCTATATCTTTGCTGCTTAGTGGATAAACAAATAATTCTTGACAAAAATAAAGGTAGGAGGCTCCAGTCACAGAAACACTTTGAGACAGGTGCCATTACTATCCACCAAATTGAAAATTTGAGAGTAACCAAGTGGTTTATCGAGCTTTAAGTGAGTCGAGATATTCGGTTCTTTCTCCTGCAACAGAAATGTATTCACCGGGTCTCATGTCTGAGAATGAGAAATCGGAGGCCGTCAGACACCAGCCGTCTACGCTTTAAATTGGAAGAGAACTCGGTAGGGATGGTAATGTCATTCATGGTATTTCTGGCTGAACCCGGCCTCGATGCCAACATCAATTTACTCCTTTCCTTCCTCATCCTTCTGCAGAGCAGCTTTGTCGATGCTTTGTTGCTTCAGCATCTCCGCCTCCTGTCTGTCTTCTTCTGCCCATCTTGCCAGGTCTTCCGCGTGCTCCCTGGCCTGATCTTCGTAAAAAAGTCGTAACTTTTCCTCTTTTTCCTTTATCGCTTGCTCCTTTAGCCTCTGCCTCTCTCGATCATCCACTCTCGCTTTTGCTTTATCCATACTTTCCCCCTCGTGAACCAACCACATTCCATCACGATCAGTCCATGCCTTCCCCTCGTACAATAACCTACTCCTCATGAATTCTTTGAGAGGCAACCAGAAGCTGAGAAGGTTTTCACTCATGATAGTCGCTGGGCTTCTATAAAACCAATCTTTGTTGAATAGACACGGCCAGTCAATAGCTCGGGAATCGGTCTCATGTAGTCCACAGAATACCGCAAATTCTGGCCGGAGTCCTAGCTTGATGCCATGTTCAATGTAGGCCTCTGTATTGACTTTGTCAGCCGAGAAATGCCTATCACACCGACTAAAAAACTCACTGTGAGTGTGCTCAAACTCATCATGATTATCCTGCATATCTTGAATGAACATGTTCAAGATTCTCTCAATCTGTGGAAACGTAATATCATTGTATGCACGTGCATGTTGCTGAAATTTCTCGTCATATCCACGGCTTGGTCCTTGATAAAGATCATCGAACTTCTGTTCCATCTCAATGATCTTCTTATCGGATAGTCCAACCCACCTCAGACACTCCCGCGTATCCGCAGGGTCTGGTATGGTCATGCCGGGTCGGTATTTACAGTCCGCAAGGCCGCGATCGAACTCGACAAGGCCGAGCGATGGGTGTATCAAGCCTTGAGCGGTGGCAAGCTTCACAAGTTCAGGAGTCCATTCAAAGTTGATGGGTTTGATCTCGGTGTCATGTTCGGTTTGATCCCCGAGTTCAGGTTGGTTCTTGGGTTCAGGTTGGTTCTCAAGTTCAGGTTGGTTCTCAGGTTCGGGTTGATCTTCCCGTTTGGGGTGATCTTCAGCGTCAGTCATCTTGGAACACTAACAAGTAAAGCAGAAGAGTAGGAGATGGCAGTCAAAGTGTGAATACCTTTAGAATTGTGAGATGGAAGGGGTATTTAAGTGCGGGGTACTGCGATCATGTGCCAAATGTGCCAAGGTTCCATCCCTGAAGGTTGCCCAGTGGCGCGGGCTAAAATAAATAAGCGCCCGCACGGCCCGGGGAGATGACATGTGACATTCATCTACCCCGTACTTTAGCGCCCATTGATTTTACGATGCATGTCAGCATGCACTGGCAGAAGCCCGGTTACCTGCCCATCCACTCAGATTTCTGAATTGCGAGGATCATAAACACCATTGTTTTACCATGTCGAGGAGTGAAACGTGGTTAGACGGAGCTAGACCACTTGCCACTAGGATACTGGAAAAGCACAACGATGGCTTGGCCTTGATTTCTCAATTCGGCATGAAATATTGCGTCAAAGGCTGGATTGCATTCTCTGCATGTCCCGTCGCTTTGGCTTCGAGGTTCGCTAGGGAGTCTGCCAAGGTGCTGCTTGTTTTCCTGTGCCCTCTTCGTGTCGTTATAACAAATATTATGCAGAATTCAATCATTAAGAATTCAAGTACCGTGAACATGAAATACAGAGGACAAAAATAGTCACCCGCTTATACGGCCTTGGATGTCTTTCTAGAAAGAACCCTATCGGGCCGTCTTTCCTTCATAAACACCTTTACCTGCTTCTCGCATCGGATAAAAAGCTAGCACAATTCCATGGAATTTCCAGTAATCCTTGTTTTGGCATCCTCTTTACCTCTGAGCAGTATTCAGCACACTGCGAGGTTTCTAAAGATAGCACGCGAGGAACTGAGCTCTGGCACAATTTGAGAGCGCTTGGAGCATGCAGGGCTAGTTTCAAGTATACAATTAGCACAGTAGAAGTGTCAGTCTAGCAGTATTACTTTCAGTAATCTCAACTAATACCCGTTGAAACACATACTGAAACACAAGCTGGCGTTAAAAAGCACCTAAATTAGATCGCTTTATTTTCGATTTCAGTGGCGTCTGTCTGACCCCTCTCCTCCCTTTGCTTCTGGGATGGTTGTAGAAGACATATAATAATTAAACTAAGGGATGCCGTTCTTGATTCAATCCTTACAGCTTTCTATTGTTCACGGTCTTCGAAATCCTCCTTGTCTTTCTCTCGTATCGAATCTCCTATAGCCCTTTCTTGGCATAACCCAGTGTAAGAGCTGATATCTTTGCACTTCCAGAGAATTGCCCACATGTCTCATCGACGGATCTTAGACGGACAGCCACGATATGACACACGAACCCGCACTGTGCTATAGTAAGTCATGCCATCATCTATATTATTTCAAACGGTACTCATCTATTCTTTCATAAGTTACTATGATACCCCCTATGGATCATGGCAATCGAGCGAGTCAAGACTCATCATCGGTCCTTACGGTCCTGAAACAGTTCGTGAAACCAGCTCGGCATATCCCGCTACGGCTAATGGGCCGTAAGTGAAACTACCTCCGATACCTCACTTAAATAGTGCTAACTATATGAGGTCCAGACCATCCCGTGTAATTTACCGAGGGTCTGCCCGAGAGCGGGCTGAAGAGTACATTCGAACGGGAAATCCGGATGAGGTCATTACCGGGGGTGCGGGGGACCTTCATCGACACCCAGCAGCTGCGGCTTATTTCACAACCAGTGAGAACTACGCAGATATATGTGCACGTAACCACGGTCATACGGGCATGGTGATCCAACAAAGAGTCCCCTCCAGACTCTTGGATAGAAGTCATGTTTTCCCCGAAACGCCAGGAAACGACTGGCGTAGCACCATTCTTACCAATAGGGCGATGGATCGTACTCCTCGATACCCTTCTGCTGTCGGTCAATCTCGACGAAGTGATATTGCTATGGCTCCAACTGCGCAGGTGCAAACAGAAGATCTATTGCGTAGGACCCAACTTCATCCCTCGGGGCATCGATACGAGTCCGCATTCCAGCCTGTACTGGAGTTGTCATCATCTGACGACTCCGACATCGACGAGCACCGAAGAGAACCAAGATATGTCCAGCAAATTCGCTTTCAAGACACGGCGCTTGCCGAACTGGCCACGCTACCGAGACATGCAAGACGTGCCCACAGGCGGCGCTAAGGAAAAGCTACTCTAGGGGCCATGTTCATACAATTGGGAAGGTCTTTTGTATTATATGAACTGAGCCCTCTTGGATTGTGTGGAAAGAACAAGTCATCCCTCATTCATTGAATGGATTGATTCCAATGTCATTCCAGGATTGTCATTTGTATGTGCTTCGATCTGGAAGCTGCTAGTTATGTGTTGTTACTGTTGTTACTGTTGTTACTGTTGTTACTGTTGTTACTGTTGTTACTGTTGTTACTGTTGTTACTGTTGTTACTGTTGTTACTGTTGTTACTGTTGTTACTGTTGTTACTGTTGTTACTGTTGTTACTGTTGTTACTGTTGTAAGTATGCCACATTTCACTTAATTATTATCGAGGAAACCCGGAATCACGTAGTACCAAAAGTAGCACCAAAACTAGATAAAGAATCAGCACCCAAAAAGCCGATCAATGGTTAGTCGTACTTTAGCATATATGGCTTGTGAAGGCGCAAAGAAAGTGCTAGCCTAAGATGCTGATGCTGCCAAAAGAGACGGGAAACTCATCGTGGACGAGTAATGACAATGTGAAAGCGAGATATAAAAAGATGAAGAAATAATGGCATTTCTATAAAGCTTCAATGCTTTCTCACATATTGTCATTCTCTTTAATTTTCTCAAGTTATAATCAGGGAACTCCCTTGCTGCAAATGAATCGGCATCTTGATTCGCACCAGATCGGGAAATGTTCAAGAGTTACACTTCTAGGTTGAGTTCTGATCTTTTTAATCAAGTTGACGAGTTCCCGAGGTCCACTAGGAATTCACTTGAGGTCCTTTTGTCTCTCGAGCTTCAAATTCCCATATATGCAGATGATCTCTTATCTACATCAGTGAGAATGAAATAAATTGACCATCTTATCCAGCCTCCTTCTGCAATTCATCAATAGTCATAACGACGATGTGTATTGAAAAGAAACCGAAGCAGATGCCGAAGGACAACATTTCCATCATCATCTTCGTCAAGCCGATTGTGGAATACCTTTCCCGTTTGTTTGGTATATTTTCGTAGCTGTTCTAAGCTCGAGAACCTTTGCACTCGATTGGTTGTGCTTCCACTTCGAGCCCAGTCGATCAAATCGATGATATTGACGAACACACCTCGGATGACCTAAATCAATTTATTGGCTAATCTCAATAATAATTCCTTTACGATCTCCGTTTTGAATCATAAAGAAACATGTAAATATACAGGCGTGATAAGTACTTACCCCCACAGCTTGCTTACAGGTTGCAGGCAAAGGCTCGATTCCGATAGCTCGACAAAGAGAATGCCAGGCGTCAAGGTCATCCTCTGCTCCAAACCACATCTTCACCTCGACTTCTAGGGCAGATTGATATTTTTTCCAGGCCTTTTTCCCATCTGGATTCTCTTTTTCCCAGCCACAGAACTCCCTGAGCTGGGCATATGATTCCGAAGGGGGTAATTTTGGATTGTATCTGAAGCTCGGAAAGGATTGGAAGAACTTGTCCAGCGGCGTGCTGGTCGGTGCGATGTGTGCTTTTGAATACTGGATATGTTGATCCAGGGCGTCTTGGCTGCCAAAGGTTCTATTGCAAAGCTCACAGTCGAATGATACAGCATGTGCCGGTGAGTTTTGATCATGTTGGTCCAAGGCACTTTGACTGCCAAAAGACCTGCTACAAGGCTCACAGTCGTATGTGATGATATGCACAGGCGAGTCTCGGAGATGCTGATCCAGGGCGCTTCGGTCGACAAAAGTACGATTGCAGGGGTCGCATCGAAATGTCAAAGTATGTACCGGAGCATCTCGCATATGTTGTTGAAAAGCTTGCCGGTCACTAAAAGACCGATCACATAATTTGCAGCATTTCATTGCTAGTCAGATGTTAAATAATTCCAGCCGAGTTAACAAGACTTGTTATCGATAGTGTGGGTAGCATTCAGCTTTGTATGCGATGATGAGCTGGCAGACCCCGCATGGTATGTATGCCATTGGCAGCATTGCTGCCTAAGGTCTTCCTGCCTGTTTGATCTTCGGAATCTTCTCCTGGCGATATATTTCCATCTCTCGTAGCTACGATCTATTATTCTTTCATGTCGCCTCGCTGTCATACCTATTAGTTGAGAATTATGTGGAAATGCTGCACGCTTATCCAGAGTTTCTGGAGGTATTCCTTATTATTTGTCCTGGAAATCGAGCCCGACTCCTTTAGGCCTAGCTGCCCATGTAATCCTCTATCTGCAGGGATCCCCGCATGGAATCTCATGGAGCCATACGTACCTACATCGCGTTAAAGTCGCCCAACAGACCTAGCCTGGTGGAAATATTTGCGAAAATGCCCACACAATAGGCAGCTGGACTTTGGCTTTGGGAAAGGCCAACAGGCGACGAGATATAACAGGGTCGTGAGCTGCTTCATTAAGTTTCCCCTTCTTTTTATGTGTTCCATTCCGAACCAAAAGACAAAGGTGGCGTGCTCGAACAAAAGTGAAGTCATCAGACGGGGGAATTTAGGTTGCTGCGAGTAGGTACAAGAATGGAAGCTGAAATTTGTAGAATGTGGCTTTCTACTTAATACGCACTCAATTTATCTATGACGATTTCTCAATATTTCTCCGCATAATAAGTCTTTTCACGTCGAGGGGCCACCACGGGTAAAGGAGGGCCCCAAACCCACCTGTAAGTTCTCGATTCTCGACATTGGGACTGGTATTGACGGGAATTCCGATGAGGACCATACCGGTCTTCTCCATGGGACGGGGTACCATGTATGGGACAATCAGAATGGTGAGTCTCAGGCCTGTCATCTTCTTCGAATCTAACGGCTTTCATATTGCTACCGCATCCGTCATCATGTGACTTGAACACGGTAGCACGAGCACAACTACCTTGTACTGGTGTTACAGCGTGATGATGGACATGGTCAAACATGCTAGTGGAACTTTTTGAGTGGACATGCTTGACTGTAGGTGGATGATGTTGGCGCTCATTGGACTGGATCCCTTGAGTATGGTAATGGTCGGTGTGGTAGCGGTGTTCTTCGTCTTCACTCGACTCGGGAGATCGAGACCGGGATTGCGGGTGGATATATTGGCTTTTATGTCGGTTATGGCAGCAGATCTCATGGTGCTGTACAAGGGGGTCGGAATCGACGTTGTTCCTACAATTCGTTCAGCGGTGAAGAAATACCGACGCAACACAAGTACAAGTCCAGTCTTACATTTTGAGGCGAGAACTCTGACCTTGGAAGTTAGGACAAAAATAACAATGAATTGTCTCTTTGGTACTTGGGGCTTGACGTAAGTGATATGCCCGATGTTTGACGGTATCAATATCGGTGTTGTTCAGATGGAGGTGATGGTCTCTTGGGCAGGGCGTAGCTTGTTGGACGTGACACAGGTGATGATGGTCATAGCAGTCGGTGTTTTGTTGGGTTTCTGTTCGATGGCATTGTGGGATAATATTCTTCCTCGCCTTGCTCTGTCGATACATATGATGATGCATGTTGATGTATGAATAAAGAGACTTGAGGATACGCCCAAGATCGAGAGATATATTCGGCCTTGAAGGCGGAATCCCAATTTGGATGCTCCTCCTGACTCCTCTCACAAGCCTTGGCTGACGAGGAAGAGCAAACAGCCCTTTTAATCGCAACTAGGTCGGCACCCGCTTCATCTTGTGACTCTCAGACCGGTTACCTATCTGAATCGACCTTGCTTTTTTTTTTTCTCTTACCTGATGCGTGGCCCCCTTCAAAATGTATGTTCTCGAATACTCCGAAGATTTTGGAGGTCCCGAAGATGACTTCGCATTCCAAAGAACCACCGTAGTCTACGAAATGTCCGGCTCGATCTACAGAGCCTACTCACGAAAGCGATATGAATCAAAAGAAGGGATTCAGTTCGGCGACATGTACAGCACCAACAAGATTCAAGGGGCTCTCATTCTCCCGGAGTTCTCGGACAAATTCATGAAGGCTGAAAGGCCCTCGGATTGTTCGACTGGTATATAGATCTAGGTACTCAACCAACTTAGGAAAACGGTACTGAAAATTTAGGCCGGTGTCATCCTGGGGGGTGCGAGCAGCAATTCCATTAATGATTCCAATAATTTAAATTGCTTCATATTGACAGATCAGGTGGTTTCTGAATAGCTTCATACTTCGAAGTATATGGAATACGCAGTGAGCCCGACATAACCAAGGCGGTAGTAAAAGCGGTAACCCGATTAGGCTGGTTGTCGTGATGGTCGGAGGTCGACTTCAAAAGTTCTGCATTAACTCTATTTTTGCTTTAGAAGGGGGAAGGGTAGTTGGTTGCTTTATTAAACTACATAATGTATGTTGTATTTAATCAAATTGGAACGGAATCGAAACAGCAGTTTAAAACAACCTCATTGTATTAGGAGTAAATTTATACTAGCGTGAAAATGAGTGAGACAGAACTTTTGCAATCAACCTCCGTACTGCCAGTCCCGATGGCACTGAAGCACAAGCGGATGACACTGAGGTGGAGGCAGATGATAGCAGAAATTGAGCCAGGAGGGAGTCACTGCCCACTTGCACGCCGCCTTTGATTTGCCCGACTTGATCCACTCTAGATCATTCCGCTGGTGATAGCGGAGATGAGAGTCAAGAATTTGTCCATGGGCTTCAAATGTAGTCAGTACTCTGGCTGGGGACTGTGTGGAGTCGGGATCCGGAAAAGAGACGGGACGAAACTCTGCATAAGCAACCGTCGACATTAATACAAATGAGATCATCCATCTTCACTCTGGCTTACCCCAGGAGGGCAGAGACCCGCTGAGCCGCGTCATCTCACTTTCATAGGTTCGACCAGTTAGATAGTGCAGGTTCTGGGTGCACAATTCCTCGAACGTCCTAGTAGTTGAATCTTCAAAGAGAAGGCGAGGGCTCGCCATCATATCACTAGGGCGTAAGATGGGAGGGGCGTGTTGTGATGCCAGCGAATGGACCTTCCATTGAGGATCATCCGGGCTTCTTCCAGTACCAAAATTAATCCACCTAGTTATCATGAGGGCGATATTCCGTTTCCCATATACACGCAGCTCAAGCTGATATTCGGTATTGCACTTGTCGCATGTTGTTCGCAAAAGTGATAAAGTTTCCCTCTTGTGATGAGCATCGACAAATTTATTAATCGAAAGTAATAAATCAGCGCTTCCTATGTGCGCGCAAATTTGGTAAATTTGTGGAGGAACTTGTCTATCCTTGTCCGATAATAGCCGCTTGGCTAAGCCACTAACTGACATGATGTTTTGGATCCGTAAGCATAATGCTGGCAATAAGTCGCGGCATACGCGTGCCTCGAGAGAACATAGCGCGGTTGATGCGATGTAGCGATTGACTTCGGTGAAGGATAGTGAGGATGCGCTAAGACCGCACCGAGAACTATAGTAGTAGCGCCTCATTGCAAGTTGCAAATGAAGGAAACAGAATGTATGATGAGTGTAGTAATAGTTTTCCTTACTATGTATACACATCGTCAATTCAGGAATGGACTGCCAGTCTCCCATTCGCGCACAAGGAAGTTTGGACTGCGACATTTGTTGATTGCTTGGCCCTAATAATCCAAAGCTCTTTGACCCGCAGTCAAATCTGTGAAGAACATAGCAGACATAACATGTGAAGTAATGTCGATCGTCTCGTGCCGGTCGACTCAGAAAGGACAACCGGCTTTCATTCTCAAGTTGTTTTCGATCCCTCCAGCTCTCAAATGTTGCGAAAAGTCGATGGTTGCAAAGCGAAAGACAGTAGGTGTCTTCGGATGAGAGAAAGTCCGCTATCGATAGCAGTAGCTCAACGACAAGGCCTCCTAGCTTATTGGGTCTAGGAGATTGAATCTGTTCTCTTCCACTGGGCAAACATAAAAGTTTGGTGAAACTGCGGGATTTTTTCCATGTTGACAGCATTGTCCATGACCAGGGTGTAGATGAAAAGGCAAAGAAGATATTCAATAGAAACTGTGAAATGTCTGATCGTGGACGAGACTGGGACCGAAGGTATATCGTAATGGACCAAAGTTATTGCAAGGAAGGTGTAAATTAGTAACGTGTTGGAAGTGGAATTCTCACAAGACACGAGAAGCAGCCAAGTCACGAAGACACCAGGGCCATGGATGCTTCCGGTGGCGGAGGTCTCTTGTCCAATTTATGTCTTGTCATGGTGGTTTCCTAGTTGGGAACTATATTGTCTACTGAGGAAGGAACGGGGTCAACACGTAATATGAGACTGCCCAATATGTAGTAGTCGACTCAGTAGTTTCAACAATCACAATCCATCGAACAACATCCAACCACTTCTATCAATCTACAACCAACACCATTATATGATGGCTTATATCAATCTCCCGCGAGCACTGATTGCTTTTCTCCTTGCTTGCCTCTGCACTTTCCTACAGGAGCGCTCGGCCTCACGCCCAGCCTCGCGTCCGGCATCGGGTTCAAAGCTTCCGGTACGGGCCCGTTCCCTGCAGCCAATTCAAGAGGAGCGCGAGAAGAAAGAGTGAAACCAAAGCGAGTGAAACCAAAGCGAGTGGAATCAGAGGAGTGAAATCAGAGGAGTGAAAGCAAGGCGAGTGAAACCAAAGCGAGTGAATCAAAGCGAGTGAAATCAAAAAGAAGTATAAATGAAGTCAATAGGAGGCGATGATGCCACGTAGGATCATATGAAATGTCTGATATGAACAAGTAAATAAGCCAGGAGAGGTGACTCTTCGAGAGAGAACATGTAGCAAACACTAACCCAAGGCCGTATAATATAATAACGGATAGTGAAGCTGTTCTAGAGTTCAGAAACACATGCGGCTTCAATTCGGCCAGAGCTTTAACGTCATCTCGCAATTGTCGTGATTGGCACTGGAACCGTTGCCTGGAAAGGTCGAAAAGATGAATAAGAGGATTCAAGAAGAAAAGAAAAGAAAAGATCAGGGTTCTAGATATGAGTACGTAATTGAGATAGTCCAGCTCATGTCCTGAAATGTGCTGGCAATATTGGCTGCCTCAAATCCTTTCGCTCAGCTCCCCTAGACACCGGAGTTCCTTCGAAGCTAATATCAGCATCACGGGGGAAGTAAATTAGAGAATACACTCGCTATGACCCTTTGTACATATATGAAAGGGAGGCAGTCGATCTCTTTAGTCACAGTAGTTCAATTGCCAGCTTTACACTCGTTCACAATATATTGACCACATTTTTCTGCATTGCGAACGCGACGAGCGCCTTGGCTACATCAGGTAACCTGCCGGTCATTCGAGAATCTCAGCCAATTATTGATCTGACGCACGTCTTTATTCAAAGGTCAGAATATTACCAGATGATGTCGAAAGTTGCTTGCTGTATGTCATCGAGGGTGTAAAGCGCTGTACCCATTCTTCCCGAATTGTGAGGAATGCATCGCAGACTGCTTTGACAGCGTCTTCGCGAGAGTTTCCACAACTCTCGATATAAACTGTGTCCATCTGTCAGTAATTGGTTCGCTCGAAGGAGAGTGGGAAAACGTACACTTGACCTTAGGCTCTGTGCCCGAACCTCGGAATGTGAAGCGTACCCCGCCCTCCAACCACAGCGTAATCATCTGGCTTGTTGGATCTTCAGGCAAGTCCGGCTTGTTATCAGGGGTGCTGGAGTCATAGCCCTGGGTCAAATCCCTCCATCGTAGAATCTTGAAGGGGCCAAACTGCATATTTGCGAGGCCCGGGCTGCCTCTGATACCCTGGAACAATGTTGAAGTGAGCTGTGGATTGGGTGATCGGAAGTAGTTATTCAAGGTCTCGTGATGGCCGAATTCGCCGAACAATTGCTGCAGCTTCGCATATGCAGTCAATCCCTGGGCTCTCCATTTCGCCTCCGCTGCAAGGAAGACGGTAGCTGCTGTAATGCCGTCTTTGTCATAACAGACAGCTGGGAACATGTATCCCAGTGCCTCCTCATATGCAAAAGGAATGGTCTTTCCCTCTTTCTCCAAGTCCCGGGCGACATTAGCCATCCACTTGAACCCAGTCAGGGTTTCTGCGAAGTGAATTCCCTTTGCAGCTGCCATCTTTCCGAGCATCCCGCTCGACACCGTTGTAGTCAACACCGCGATGTGGGACCAATCTTTGCTGGCATCGAATGAATCCAAGATATGGGACGCTAGAAGTACACCGACGTGATTTCCAGTTAGAGTGTGCCATTTCCCACTGGAAACATGTTAGTTCAGATCAATTGACAGTAGTCAGAAATCGAGGCTTACTCCACTTTCTCCGCCACGGCGAAACGGTCGGCATCGGGGTCATTTGCGATGATCAAGGTCTTTCCTTCTCGGTCGGCAGTCTCGATAGCAAGATCCAAAGCTCCAGCCTCTTCCGGATTGGGGAACTTCACAGTGGGGAATTCAGGATCTGGCTTTTCCTGGGCAGCAACGGATACAAAGTCATTGATTCCAAGTGAGTGGCACAAAGTTGGAAGAACCAAACCTCCGACGCCGTGCAGAGGTGTATAAACGAACGGTCTTGAGGGCTGCCAATTGGTCACCGTAGATTTCTAGAGTAAACTCGTTAGATTGATCTCCTGAAGCACAGCCCACAACGTACCGTGAACTCTGCGACTCGGTTACTGTAGTGAGGCAGCAATTTCTGATAGGAATCCGCGTGCAGGAATTCGCCTGGCTGTAATTCCGCCCATGCGGTCGGCCATGGCTCGAGGTTCTCTTGAATTGACTGTGCTATTTCGCCGTCTTCGGGTCGGTTGATCTGGGCACCATTGCTCGAGTAGCTACAAGGCAGATCTTGTCAGCAGTCTCCATAATATACATTCATAGTTCTTACACTTTGTAGCCTATAAAACAGTCAGCAATTATTTTACAGCATCAGAAATGGGTAACATACCATTGTCCTGGGGTGGATTCTTCGAGCCGATTAGCCAATCCATCGATAAAAGTAGTTTCGGGGTAGACCTACGTGGCTCGCCGTCACCATAATACCTGCGGCCGTACCGAAATGGTTCACACCGAA